CGCGCCGTGTCGCCTTCGTCTCGCCGCACGGTACGATTCCCGGATGCTTCCTGACGACTCCGCCGCCCTGCGCTTCGTTGCCAAATGAGATCGACTGAGCGGCCGCCCAGGAGCACCAGAGCCCTGCGAAGCAGCCGTGGCGCAGACCCGAGCCAGTGCGACAGCTAGCGGCTGGCGAGTTATTTGCCGCCGCCGCCGCCGCCGCCGCGACGGGACTGGAGTGGAAACGGCGCTCTCGGCCTTCCCCGGCTCGAATGCAAACTTGAAGCGGTCTTTTCTTTGGGACGCTTAACCTCGCTGAAGGAAATCCGTGCCAGGATTAGATGCTCAGACTTGCTTATTTACGGCTACGATATTTTATTTCGTAAACTACATCTTCCTGCCAACGCTGTCAGTTTGTCAGGAACAGCCCTTGTGTTGTACCTGTCTCTAATTCGAAGAGAGCTTCATTTTTGTTTGTCTTTTATGCATTTTTCCATTCGGTGTCCTGCCTATAAACTAAACATTGCTGAACCTGTCCCAGTAGGAACTATTAAAATCAGCAGGGGTACAGACATTTATTTTTAATACATAACATAGCCGTACTCAAAAACATGATTGAAATCTCAGCTTATAAAATGAACTGCATAATAAAACGGAGAGCTTACACTTTGTGACGGCTCCTGGTGAAAATACAAAAATTCAAGTAACAGGTTCTCATGGTCTCTCAGGGTTTTTACATGGCTTCAATAGATCCTTCTGAGATTTTATTCTTGTGTGTAAACATTTTTCAGTTAGTCCTGGCTTTGTGCAAGCTATCATTTGGCTACTTTTATTTCTTCAGCTTGAATGAGGATCATACTGTAGTCTCACACAACTGAATACAAGTTTTATTTCCATCTCCCAGCTTTCTCCCAGGTACTTAACGCCTTGACGTTATCATAGAGAATTCATTTTTTAAAAGTTGCCTGAAATGCTGTCACTCAAATATTTACACCCCAGTCAAGGGCACCAGTTTAATTGAAAGGAGAAGTTGGAAGTCTGCCTTTTCTCCTGGACATTTTTTTTTTGCTCTCCGTGTGCTCCTTCTTATTATTTTATTGGCTAAAATTCAGTACTCTTAACACAGTACCTTTCAGTAAAATATTCCCCAAAGCATTTACAAGAGGTAGTCTAGGCTTGAATAGCAACAGTTCTTAACCTAATGAAAAGGGATTTCTGGTGTTGATTTCAGGCCTATGTATAGTTAAGCTTAGGGTCTGTTGCAGATCAGGTGGACATTAAGTGGCTCCTCCCAGGACATACTTGTAGAACATGCCTGACTCAACCTGGTGTGAACTGTGAGTAAATTATGTCCCTGATAATCCAGTGCCAGATTAGAGAAACAAGTGAGGGATTCTTTTAGAACTTCCAAGCCACCTTCACTATGAATGGCAGGCTTTTATTTTCTTTTTCTTTTTCAGTTACCAAAAAGAAGGGAGAGAGAGAGAGATAATGGTACCCCAGAGGCTGTGTTTTAGTAGCCTGCAGGTAAGCTGGTTGCAAAACCCATTCTCGGGTACCTCTGCTTGGGAAAGGGCTGGACCGCTTGGAGTTTGGGGAGCTCCCCTATAAATGGCACATGAAGTGCTCTTTTCTATACGTGCACATGTTTTATGACCCTCCATAAGGATCACATAATGCCACCCAGATCTGCTACCACACTTTCCTCTAGGTCCATAGCTCACATCACACCAGTGGGCAGGCCCTCGGGCACATGTGCAAGAGGGGGAATTGGCTGAGGATGGAGATCACAGACTTGCATGTTAGTGATGTTTTCCACCCCTTGTAACAATATCATGCCAGAGTGAAACTGTGGGTCCAGCATTTGTGCATAGTCCCTGTAGACCTCCCTTGTTCCAAAGAAGCATGCAAAAGGCTGTTACATGGTACAGTCACTGGTACTCCAGCCCAAACTCTGTTCTTTGATGGTTTGGGAAGCAATGTCAGCCTGCTGTTGTGAATAATTGTTACTTCTGTATCATGCAGACATTTGTGGGCACTCACAGGTGATAATCCCTTAGGACCAGTTGTGGAGAGATGAAAGAACACAAGA